AAAGTCCTGAACATTGGCCAGGAATAAAGCCACCCAAGGCTTTCAATTAATGGAAGCTCTGTGAAAGTCAGCAAGAACACCATGCTACTTCTCCACATGAATTTTTTCTGCTGTTTCCACAAAAAAAAAAGTACAAAAAAATAAAAGAAAATAAGTTACTAGTTTCTGAAAGCATTTTTCTATAAAACTATTACCTTGTCAACATGAAGGCTGCAATCATGCTTCACTATGAAAGGATCTCCATATCCATTTTTAAGCTTAAAGTTTCTAATTTCTTGTACTTACCATTAAGTCATTTATATAGGTTTACACATATGTGCATTACTACAAGATACTTTTAAAGATGTATTGTACAATTACCTAAACGCTACAAAGTGTTAATTACCTCTTTGCTTCTGCTCCGGCTTCTGTGTTTTTTTCCTTCAGCATCTGCAGAAGAAAACATTTATTGTTGTTTACTAACTTAAAGAGGAGGTCAGCTGGCTACAACCTTTCTAGTTCTTTCAGTTATTCCATCCCCCTAATTCAGGAATAGATCTAGAAAACAAACAGCACTATTTAAGTATGTACTACGGAAAGCAAACTGTAGCTTTTATTCCCAGTTCTTTGCATGTATTTAAGCTCTGACAGTGAAAAACTAGACCATGTCATATTCTAGCTGCATTCTTCAGCCAGATAACCCTATTTTTGTTACACCCATGCAGAAGCATCCCAGCCTAAGCATATGGAATTAAATTAATATAAAGTAGCATGTTTTTCTGCTTGGTGTTGCCTATCCTCCACCTGCCCCTCACCCCCAATCCCCTGAACAAAGACAAGAAGACCTTGTTCTTTAGCACTTCTACCATTAAAATTGTGAAGTCTCAGTATCACACATTTAAGATACAAACCAAAATTAGCAGCTTCATTTTTTCCCAATTCTAGCAAATTACTAGAGCTAAGACCATTTTTTTCCAAAACAGCTTTAAAGAAATTTCAGTTCTATAAGCACACACTGGAACATTACTAAGCAACTTCGCACATATTAAGACCATACCTGACTTCCGTCGTCTTTCCCTTGACCGAGAGCGTGATCTTGAATAATGAGGCTTTGATGTTTTGGGAGAACTAGAGGCATCTGGTTGTTCCTTTTTCTTTTCTCCTTCTGGAGAAGACTTTTCCGGGGCTACTCCATCTCGTTCTGTATCACTACCCTACGCACGAGGACAGAAAGTTTAAATAAAATAAATGCTTAGGACTGAAAAACAAAAAAACCTACTCAGTACTTCCCCTGAAGACACACTGAAAGATATTTACTGTAAAGACAATCTCAGGAGCAACCACCCCATTAGTAGCTAGGCAATAGCTTGACAGAGTTGTAGTGAACTGTGTAACTGCATATAGATTGATTTTTTCAAGACCTTATTAAAGAAATCTAATTTATAGAAACATTTTGCTCTCCCACTACATCAGACTGCCCTTTTGCCACGTGTTTTTGAGAATATCAGCAAAACTAAACTCTGAGCCACAGTTTTCTTTAAATGGTGGTGTTTATAAGTCATTTACCTTTTAAACATTTACATGACTAAAATTACTTAAGGTCAACACTCTCCCAACAGATCTAAGTCACCTTACAAGTTCGGGCATTACCGAGGCACAGCACAAAATCCCCATAGTATTTTGAAGTATGGAATGACCTATGAAATGAAATTAAGTATAGTGTCAGACAGCTAACTTTTGAATAAGGAAAAACCTCAAACAGTATCTCTATGTAGAAATGTGATCTATAAGTACTCTCATACAAAAACGTATCTACCTGTCCCAACAATTTATCTGTCACATTTTCCTTAAACCTTGACCTAGGAGGATTAAATCTGTGTAGAGCAGTCAAGACTGCTTTGTGATTCAATGCTGGGAGGAGTAAACGTGTACAACTGGTGTACAATGCAATAAAAGGAAAGGATGGAAAAAGTACACACTGAGAAGGTGACTGATTTCACCAATGCCTTTACAGATTCATTGGTCTCTGTTGTTCCAATCATATCAATAATGGCAGTCAATCAAACCTCGTGACGTCGTGTGGCAGCAGAAGATTTCACTGAGGACGTAATTTGGCCCAGATGTGCTATTCATGAAAATAATTTAGCATAGAAGAGGACTCAAACTTGCAGAGTTTTCTACCAGCTGCAACTGGTAGAATTGTCTGCTAACTTAACAACACATGTGAAAACCTCTCAAATGTTGATTTATATTCATTACTTTGAACACAAAACAACTAGTTTTTCTTAAACCGCAACAGATTATTATTACAGATTGTCACTAACATATTGTGTATTAATGGTAGACTTGGTTCACAACATGCTGCAGGTGAATCTTTAGTATTTATATTGCAGCTACTACTGTTTTATCTACCCAATTCTCCAGTCATATGGTATACTGGTATCTAGTTTAAAGCACACCAGCATACGGACAACAGCACTGACCACTTAAAACTGTGCCTGCAGCAGAGCTTTAGCTACACTCTCTGTGACACTTCTGAATACTACTGATACCCCACCCATCATCATGGAAACTTGAGGCCATCAGAGCAGGAACTGACTCTCCTAACTCTGATCTCAGCCATCACAACCCTTGTCCTTTGACATCTATCTATCTATCTATCTATCTGTCTATCTATCTGTCTATCTAGCTATCATCTGCTTATCTAAGCTTGCCCCCTTCACCTGAGACTCCTAAAAAGTCAGCAAGAAGTTTGGAAGGAATTTTAAATTCCTATACATTTACATTTCAAATTTACTTGAGGAGAAGGAAAATGAATACCAGCTAAACAGTCTAACTTATCTGGGTTTTTAAGCATAGTATTCAAAAGAAATTGAGCCCACTGCCACTTTCCAAGGCTACCAGTCTCACTATTTATACACACTGCTGCTCATTAATACCCTAAGGTGCAATGCACCTTGGAGAAATCTTTCAGCTCTACAAAAACAGAGAGCAGAAAAAAGCTGACAGACTTCAACGAGACTATTCTCAGCTCTTGGCTTGGCCACAGGTTCAGGTTTCCTCGAACAAGCCCCTCACCTACTTTTGAGGTATCTCAAAGACAGTACCTATGATCTAGGTGTTAAACTACAAGTACATAATTCTTCAAGTCCTTTTACAATAAAATTTATCTTATTCTTAACAGGTTAAGTTATATATATAAAAAAGAATGCAGCATTAAAAAAAATTAATTTTCTCCAGAAGTTTGTGGTCCCCTTGCTCTGTTTCACCACTCGCCAAAATTTAGACAAGAACCTTAAAACAGAAGAACTTTAAATGCCAGATTAAAGACCACAAAGTACTTAAAGTCAACTCTGAAGAATCTTATTACTTTTGAGACCAGTTTACTTGCTTTTTAGTTTGGGGTTTGTTGGGGTTTTATTTTGCACTCAAAACTATTTAGTAACTTCTGAAAAGAAATTAACCAAATCGGGCTGATAACTGTTCTTACCGGTTCTTTGACTCAATCATGGGACAAATGCCTTTGTATGCTACCAGGCCACACAACCTCCTTTATACATTACCAGAGTACAGAAATTTTAGAAGAGAGTAAAGCCACACTCTTAGGCCGTGTATAAACTTAAAGGACAGTGGTAACTACAGCACAGGCACTTCCTATATATATAAACTATAAAAACTGGAAAATGAGGGCAAATAATTATCACTGAGTGCAAGCTGACGCTGAAAATAGCACATTTATAGCCAAACACAAAGAAAAAATTTAGGACGGGGAAAGCTTCACGAATGAAAAGCAATCAAAGGCCAACCACCAAAATGATCCCCCTCTTCTCCCCTCCCAGGTAACCTGCGCCCCACAGCCTGAGAAACGCCTACTCTTATGTCTACGTTATTTCTCTCCCCAACCAGAAAACGACAGGGGCTCCATCATAAAGCCTCTTCGCTTCTCCCTGAGCCCAGCGAAATGAAACAAAAACTTCTGGAAACCGGGAAAGAAGTAATGGGTGAAAAGCGGCCACCCCCTCCCCGCGGCTCATCATGGCGCCGTCAACCGAAGGAGCGGCGGGCGCCATTTTGTCTCTCCGCGCACACGGCTTCCCGACCCAGCCCTCCCCGTCTCACACGCTCTTTTCCTCCCGCCCCGTAGCTGCCCGCTTCCCAAGTCGCCTCCCTCCTAAAACCTCAGCAGCGAACGCCACTAACCGCCATGACCGAGCACCCGGCACGTCGCTCCCCCTCAAAAAGCCTTCACAACAGGCTCAACGTCCCTCAGCCACCGCGGCCGCTGCGCTCGCGAACCGAGGCAACAAGCCCCACCCTCCCTCTAACGCTCCAGGCGCCCGGATGTAAGTGTGGGGCGGGGCGGGAGGGGGCCGCAGTGCCCTCTGGGAGAGGGGAAGGATTAGGCGGTGTCTAAGCAGCAGCGCTGTCCGCGTTTGGAGGATGATTGGCCCGGGCTGCGAACCGTAGCGCCACCCAGGGTTCCCGCCAATTTGAAAGCCTGAAGCCGCTGAGGGGATCGGCTGTGGTCTGTCACTGGCCGCGGGGCCGCGGTGAGGAGACGAAGGGGATGGCGGATGGTCGGTAGCTGTGGTAGGGGTGTCCGCGGCGTGCTGCTGAGCGTTCTCCAGCATGGGATCGCTTCAGCCTCGGGCGTGGAGCCTGTCCTGCCAAACTGCGTTTGGTCGGGCCCCCTGGGGACACGGGCTGGGAGCCACATTGCTGCTGCGACACTGTCGTTTCTAAACATGCAGTTTGCTTTTAGGAGGCTTATTGAACTGCCCTGCCTCCTAGGCGCTATTCATGATAGGATAATAAAATAAGTAACTTGTGTGTGGTCATGTAAATTTTTTAAAGCTTTCGCTTTACAGCGTATTCCTCATATGTTTATCGTAGGTAAAAATGTGGAATGATATTGAACTTCTTACAAATGATGACACGGGGAGTGAGCAGCTCCCTGTAGGTTTAGGACGTGAATGTGGAACTGCGTTGTATCAAGTGAATACCCTGCTTCAAATCACATCTTCAGAAAAGGTAGAATTCAAAGAGCTGTGTTTTTCTTAATAATTGCCAGGGCTTCTTTGTCACATTTTCAAAGGTGTTTCAGTTACTATATTTAGTGACCTTTTTTTTCTTAGGTCTCTGTTAATCCGCAGTTGTGTGCATTCAACTCAAGGGATGGCACTATTATTGTTGTTGACACATTAGTGGCACTTCTTGACAGTACAGGGCAGTCTCTCCTGATGCATGTTCAGTTTGGTAAGTTCATTCATTTGGAATTCATCTGGAAGTTAAAACTGACTTTCAGAATATGTGTGTTAGGTTTGTATGAGAAAATATACCAAGAATCTTCCCTATCTAACTCGCTTGGAAAAGGAATTATAATATTATGTAATTATATACTGTATTATAATAAATACATAAGTAATAAAAAGTGATTGCTGTTTCTGTATACAATAACTATTTCTGTACAGTTTAATGAGAATACTCACTAGCTTTTCACTGAAATGGGAATAATGGCTATCAAACCCACTCCCCCTATGCCCTTTTCTGTTTTAATCAAAATAAATACTTATGGGGAAATCTTGGGCACTGTCTAATTCCTGTGTTTTTCAAATATAAGTGCCTATTAATAAAAAACAGATCTTAATTGACATTTGCCATGGAACTTTTCAGATACTAATGTGGATGTTGTTGGCATGTGTCAAGAAGAGCAATTTCTTGTGGTCGGTGAGAGAAGTGGCAATTTCCACGTTATCCACATACCCTCAAAACAAACCTTGCTAACCAAGGTACAGTAATTTTTCTATTCCAATTTTGCGAAAAACCTTTGTTCTCTGAATTTCTTGAGCTATATTTATTTCCTTCCAAATATAAAAATATAAACATTCTTCCGATTCCAACATGCCTTCTAGCTTGAACAAACAAACAGATTAAAGCGACTCTTTTGCTCACAGCAGTAACAAATAAGGAAAATGTATTTAGGAATGGCATGTGTAAACAAGATTAAATTTCTTCATAAAAGAAAAAAGTTTAAACTGATGATCAGTATTTCCAATACATTTGTTCCAAATGAAGTACAGAATAGTTTAATTAGTCTTTTTGTTGATTCTATTTTAGATTTTGGTTGAAAAATCTTCAAGTGAAAGGACTTACTTAAATCTCTTTATTGAAAAAGATAATGCAGATGCAGGTAAGAATTTGATCCCCCCTCTTGTCTCAGTTTTTGTGATTTTGTCCTCCTGGGGAAAGAGACTACAAAATAAGTAGAATCATAGAATAGTTAGGGTTGGAAAGGAGCTTAAGATCATCTAGCTCCAATCCCCCTGCCATGGGCAGGGACATCTCACACTAAACCTTATCACCCAAGGCTCTGTCCAACCTGTCCTTGAACACCGCCATGGATGGAGCATTCACAACTTCCCTGGGCAGCCCATTCCAGTGCCTCACCACCCCTACAGTAAAGAACTTCTTCCTTAGATCAAATTCAAAACTTCCCCTGTTTCAGTTTTAACCCATTACCCCATGTCCTACCACTCCAGTCCATAGTGAAGAGTCCTTCTCCAAAGGGACTCTCTGTAGTAATTTTTTGTTTGTAGTAGTATCTGACTTCATAGTCAGATACAGCTTTACTTTGCACTGTACACATTAGGTATGTTTTCCCTAAATGTTTTTCTGTGAAGATACTTAGCTTGTTAATTGTTTTATGAATGTCATAGAAAACAAAAAACATTCAGAACTCAATACCTGTTTGAGACTGCTAAACGCTCAAAAAGGCAGCATTCCTTCTCTCTCCTATCAGACTTCAGATTTTTGGTAGTTCCTGTTCTATAAGCTTACAGTCTTGTTCTGTCACAATATAATGTATTTAAATGTAGTTTTGTCATGAAAACAGAATTTGCAGTCTTAATGGAAGCATACAAACGTCATAATTTCTAACAAAACTAAAATGTACAAACTTACTCTACTCTTTGTTGAAGGTGACAACAGTTTGGTTTAAAAATCATATGTTGGTCAGAGTTTCTTTTGTCAGTTATTTCACTGTCTTATTTATAACCAAGTAGTCTCTTTACTTGCTCTTTAAGTTTGAAACATTTGGATTCGATTTTTTTTTAGGTGTTTATCACATGTTCATTCTCACAAGCAATGGATTCTTCTGCATTATGTGTCTCCCACTTGCTAAAACACAGGAAGGTAGGATGATCTACAAACCACTTGAGATTTCCATTTGAGCATGAAGAACTGTATTAAAAAAAGCTTTTTCATGCATTTTTTCTAATGGGAATAAGATATAAACTTGGGATTTTCTATATGATCTCAGTTTGGTTTTAAGGGGAACCTCATATACTGTAATAAAGTTATTGTATTCCTCCAATAATTCCTTTAGCTTATGTTTTTCTGAGTCACTGCTTTAGGGAGAGTCCTGAATACTATGAAAGCAGAATTTTAAGACATAATCAGTCTTGGCTGTACTGAAGAATATTGGGAAACGTATAAGCAGAGTTATTAGTTAATTTTCTGTAACTCAATATTGTGATCAATAGAAATAAACCCTGTCAAAGAACCCAGCTAAAGTGTTTTTCAGTAGAGTCAGGTTAGGATTAAACTATCATAGATGAAGTTCAGGGGCTTTTTCTCAACTCTAAAAAAGTTAATTTAACTGATATTTTCTTTGTTTTGTTTTGGTTTTTTGATGTAGCACTTGACAAGATGGATATGATTACAGCAAAGAAAGTAAGAAAAACCTGGTAACTTGTAACATAGGTATTAAGTTCAGAGTTTAACAAAACTGCTCTGTAAGTTTCACCGAGTACTTACCAGTTTATTATCACAACTCAATTGTGATTATAATGTTTTCTATAAATGGAAAAAAAGCCTTGACCTGCTTACATCTACTGATTGTATAAACAACCTTTTTCCTTCCCCTTTTCTTTATTTTCCCTTCATCTTCCACCCCACAAGTTACAAGGACAGATAAAGACAGCTTTCATTTCCACAGAAGAATATCACAGCCTTGGCTGTCAGAATTTTGTGATAAGTAACTCAGTGAACAAAATCCATCTGATAGTTGGGGTAAGTAATATGAATGTGTTTGTAGCAATTGTTATGTGATCAGTGATGGTGGTTTTTGACCTGTAACAAAATTTATCTCTAGCTGGTTGGCAATTAACTTTTTGCACAAGGACTTTCTGTCTTTCATTTCCTTCACTGTAAATGTAAAGGTTACGAGTTGTGCAGTCTGTCTTTCTTGTAACTTGCTCTTTTATGATGGATGGGGGGGGAAATATTTTCACCCTGGTTGCATGGCCTTAGTAACTGTGTTTGTAGGCTGTGCAAGATAGTCTGAAGGACTTTGTCCTTCAGCTCACACACAAAGCTAGAATTTGTGAGTCTTCTAATGAAATTTACATTCCATTAAGGCTTGCCAAAATAACAATTAACATCCCAGTTCAACAAAGCCCTTAAGCATGAATTAAGTACAGAAACCCAAGTTCATGACTGAAGCCTGTTGAATTCAATGTGATTTTTCTCAGTAGGTTCAGTGTACATTTCGGGTTTTATGCCCTGTGAGAATCGAAAGGGGATATTTTGAAATATGGCATGTTCTTCAAAGACCCAAAAATGTTTAGGGGTGCTAACAATTACTGTAGTAAAGGTCAGTCTTGAGAAAGAAAAAAGGGTAAATTGAATATAAATAACTGAGTATATTCTACTGAACATCAGCATTCACCAGGAACAAAGTTTAAGTTGGTTTTGCAGCATTGCAAGTTAAAGGTCAATTACACAGCTGTCAATGGCCAAGTTTCTAACGTATAACCCCATTTTACTTTGACTTTACTAACAGGGTAGAGGTGATTATGTACTCTCCAAATGGGAGGTAGACACTACCAATAACTTGGTGTCTGTTCGAAGTTTTGCTGATTCAAGTCTGATCAAAGGTAAAGAAGAATTTGGTTTGTGTTTTGTTCTCAATAGGCAATTGTAGGATTCAGATTCAATTGCAGAAAATACTGAGACATTTTCAGTTATGTCACTGTTGTTAGTAAATATGCATATACCAAGTAGAACACTTCTTGTAAAGCGACAGCCAAACTGTGCCTCAAAATGGTTGAATTTAATTTAGATACCTAAATCACAACTCTGTTTAAGCTAAACTTTTCACAGTCTTAGGAATTTCCATGAGGTTAAACTTCTGTAGGTTTCCAGTACTTGGTTGTACATTTTAATACTTTTTTTCTTCAAATACTTAAAAAAAATACTAAATTTATGGGACTGGATGTTTTGTAGGTGCAGCAAAATTTCAAGTTCTTGACAACCGGCTGTTTGTTTTGGATACAGAGGTACATGTAATGATTGTGTTTATTCTTTATTTCACTGTTTAGTCTTTATTTCAGTGTTCTTTAACCAGCTTCTAAAAATAATTTTAAAGTAATAGCTTTAAAATATGTTTATATAAAATCAAGATGCTTATATTTACAGAGACTTTTGATCTTGCTTTTTAAATTCTACTCCTATGAAACGAGCTTAATGAATGGAATGACAAAGCTATGGAATGACAAAGCAGAAAACATGTCTTCTATGAAGAAAGTAGTAAATCCATATCTTTTTTTTTTTTTCCTTTATCTAGAATATCCTAAGCATGTGGGATGTTTATTCTCTTACTCTAATTTGGGATTGGCCTTTAATACATATTGAAGAGTTTCTTTTAAGTACAGAGTCAGATTCTTTGCCAGTCATATGGTAAGTAAAGCTTCATAGTACCAATTATGAAAATTGAAAAGTTACATGAAACGTGCCACAAACCCTTGATTTTCTGTGGCAGTGAATTTTTAGAAATCTTTGAAAGCTTTCTAGTTAGCAGGACAGAATAATTGCACTGTAGGTATCCTCATCTTTTTATTGTAGAAAAGAAAACCTTGTTGCTTTCTGCTTTTTCTTGGTTTATCTGTTGTTACTGCTAAGGAATCTTGCATGTAACCTGTGGCATTTAGGAAATGCTTGCCTAAAATAAGATATAGAATATGGCTTACAAGTCTGATGTTATAAAAAGGCTAGTCTGTCTTTTGGATAGATAAATAGTAAGATCTTCATTCTGCAGATGGAGAAGCCAAAATCTGGAGATGTGTGTACAATGCAAAAGAAATTAATGGCAGTTCAGATTAGAAGACTCTTGGCTCTTTCCATTGCTCTGTGCCAGTCTGTGAATCAGATCCATTTGAAAAGCTTAAAAATGTCAGAAGTTAAATGTATGTCCTCTAAATGCTAAAAGACTGTTATTTTTAGGTGCACTATAGGGTTTCAAAATGTACTAGCAGTTTCCATGGAGAACTAAATTTTCTAAACTCTGAAGTGAGAATCACAGCCTTAACATAAGATTTACACAGTAAATTTTGCTTTCTTTTTTTCTCTTTCTTGTTCCCTAGGCAAGGGCTTGCCAATGTTAAACTGATAGTCATGACAATACCAGATAACAAACAGGTATAATCACTTTGTCTGTGCTCTGTTCAACTGTTATACACTCATTGAAATAATAGGCCTATATAGGGATGCAACATCTAAAACTTCATTAAACTCTCAAGATGTAGAGATTATAAAACCTATGAACATAATGTCTTCCATCTGACTGTAAGAATAAAGAAATGATTCTGCAATCAGAGAGAAGAATTAAATTGACTTGTTTGTTTTCCCACCTTTTTTTTAATAGATAAGAAGTCTCATGGTTTTTGCATTGCCCACTATGCAACAGCTATATTCTTTGGAAGTGTCTATCGTTTCTTCACTTGTTCAAAGTGGGATTGGCACAGTAGGTTTCTATGTTTTGTTGTTGTTGCTCTTAGAAGAAATGTAATTGTCCTAATACGTAGAATTATTACACGGGGTACTATGTTATTCTCTTAGATTAGAACCAATTTGTGCCATAAACTACAGAAAAACTAAATAATGGTACAAAGATTAAATTATGTCCCCAAAGGCTGGAGAAAAAGATACAATATGTAGTAAACTGAACAGTCTATTGCAATGTTTTATACTATTGGCAATTGTTCTTGTGGCTGTTACAGCTAAAAACTATGAAGTTTTAAATTCTCCTAGTGTAGAGAAATGCTCTGGATTTATTTGGGATTTATTCTAAAAGATATGAGGATGGGTACAGTGCAACCTGCTTATAGTTGGTCAAAATGAGAGTGTAATTTTGAGAAGATGATTCACTCGTGCGGGCAGTGTCCTGATGGTAATTCAACTGGGATAACATAGTGGGTACCGTGTGTTCAGTTAAGGCCCTCAGACATTTTAGATAGTGGAAACTATCCAGGAAATAACATAACTCTTTAAAAAACCCAATACATTTATGAGAGAAGAGCAGTAGTTTGTTTCTAGATTAAGAAATGCTGCATTACAATTGAAGTTTCCTTATGACTGATTTCCCTTACCACCTAATGTTCTCTGTTATTGCACACTACAGGATACAATATACTTCTTGGAAGGTATTCATGGAAAACGCCAGATGTAAGATAATGTTTTGTTTCTTACTAGATCATTATTATGTTAAAATAGCAGATTATTTGTAGTTGATAAACTCATAGCTCCCTCTCATCCATAGACCCTCTGAAGGCCCAGTTTCTATTGTTGTGATGCGAAGTTTAACTGAAGCCTTACCAGAAAATAGGTACTGATTTCTGTCAATCGTTTTTTTTACTATTTTATTATTTATCTGTGGTTTGGCACTTCTATTTACGTAGTAAACTTCACCCCTAGGCTCAGTCGCTTACTTCATAAGCACAAATTCACTGAAGCAGAGACTTTTGCTCTTCAGTTTGGCCTAGATGTTGAGGTAAGTTGTCTGTTCTTGATAAATACTTTTGGACATTAATTAGTATAACTGAATTTATGGGTAAGGTTTTTGCCCTGTAGTCCAGCAGAAAGTATTAAAAATACTACAGATATAAGGGAATGTTACCTTACAAAGCAACTCGCTATACTTGACACTAGTTCAAAATTAGATGACTGCATGGTGAACTATGTTTTTATTTACAATAACTAACAAACCTTGCAATGAGAAGCGGTGCAGAAGCAAATCCTCTGATCAAAATGAGCACTGCTGGATCAGGAGAAGGCACGTTTGTCCCTGTAAGTAGCAAGAAATGGTGTTGCTAAAACACAGTCTGGCTTCATTAATTGATTTATTCAAATAATGAAATTTGAATGTTGCCTCTCCTTTTTTTGTTTTGTTTTAATGGTTAGCTGACGAGATTTAAAAAAGAGACACCACAATTGTTACTAATTGATAATCCATTTCTGTAATGAAATCATTCAATGTACACAGACACTGTATCTCAAAAATATGGTGAACGAATGTGGAGTTTTCAGTTGAAGACTGTCTGCTGAACACTCAACTGCATGAGACTGAAAACTGTTTATTTGTTTTTACACAGCTTGTATATAAAGTGAAAGCAAACACTATTTTAGAGAAACTGGCTTCAGCCTCTATTGGGAGTTACGGTCACGAGGTCTGGCTGGATCTTGTGAATGACGCCAAAGAAAACCTGCAAAAAATTCAGGTATGTTTTTTATTTCTACCCTCTTTCTCTAATTAAATAATTCAAATGATAAAAAAGTTTGGAACTAATTTCAATTGTGTTCTTATGCAAACAGGATAGCCAGTTTGTTGTGGATTACTGCATAAATGCTCCATGGCCACTGTATGAAACCACTCAAGAAATGTTGAACTACGCTAAAGTCAGAGTAAGGAGTTTTATTTGTTTGAATTGTTTATACTCGTCTATTCCTATTATGCTTCTGTACAGCTTGAGAAGGGGGACATCTGCAAACCAGTGACAGTCACTCACAAAGTAAATGCATTATAAATTGTATGTTACCAAACATGAAGAAGCAACAAGACTTGTTCTGGTCTTCTTGCTATTGCTTAAGGGCAAAAAAGAGCTTACAGTTTTATTTTCAGATCAGAAAGCAGGTTTTTGTTTTGAGTAGTAGTCTTTTTAAGTACCTTTTAAATACTAATTTTAGGACTAAAACCTTAACATATGTCACCTTTTTTGTTTTCATTATTTTAGTCTTTCCTGCCTTAACATGTATCTCTCATTCTGTTTGATATCTGTCTGATCCTGCATACATGTAGAAATCCAGCCAGTGTCTAACACTGTAAAATAAAGACTCCACTTTACAGAGTAAATTTGTAGTACTGTTTGGCATGTTCTGCATGTACCAAGTTGTCAGCCAAACCATTTCATGTCTTTGTTTCAGATCTTGAAGAAAGATGATAGAACCTTTGCTCCATCATCTGATGGGGCTCCAGTATCCATATCTGAGGTGAGGACAAAATTCTTGACTCTACAGTATTCTATGATAAGCAATTAACAATGCAGAGTTTTAAAGCCTGTCCAAACACTGACCTTAAATCACTTGTTTGCATTCAGGTATTGAGAGCTCAGGCAAGGCTTACAACTTTCTATGGAGCTTTTGGACTAGAGAAATTCAGGTTTGTTTCTGTTTGTGCATTAAGATTTGAAGTCAATTTAATTGTAAGGGTAATTGAAATTAAGGGGGGTGTTATTTTTTTAGTTTGGTTCATTAAAATTTAAATCCTTCCCTCTCTACTGTGGACTAGGGAGAATGCAGAGAGGTTGAGTCATCCTATACGTTGAAAACACGTATTATCTATTGCACATGGACTATCATGTATAGATTTTGGTTTTTTATTTAACACATATAGGAGGGGCTGTGATTTTATGCACATGGTCTCACATTGCTGTTCTCTCTTACAGTAAACAGTACTAGCTAGAAAAGGTTTGAGATTCTCCTCCCCAGCTTCTTTAATATTGACATATAACCATAACAGAGTTTCTTTCCCTCCTCTTACTTCTAGTGGCATTGCTTGGACAGAATTCTTGAATAGTGAAGACATTTTCAAGAATATCCTTTCTCAGCTAGAAGAAGGAAATTTATCTTGTGCACAGTACCTCTGGCTGCGGCACCAGGTGAGATAGCATAGACATCTCTTTGGTATTTATGGAGGATGTTAAGTCTCAAACTTTCCAGCTTTATTAAAGAGAATCAGACCAATGCATTACAAAACCGCTCCTCAAAGAAGCAAAGTTTTATGTCAGAATCTCATCTGTTACCATAATGATTACCTGTTCACATAGCTCCTTAGAAGGCTGAACTGCTTATTGATTTAGGAATAAACTGGTATTTCTGATGTCAGAATGCATATTTCTAGGTCTGAAGGACGACAGTTCTTTGATTTATTTTGTGGGGGTTGTAATCTTCCATTCACTTTATTGCAAGCACAGCTCTCAGGTTTTAAGTGGACATTTGCTGACTACCTTAAAATCCTTTAAAAATAATCATACAGACTACTTACTCTGAATGACACATTCATCATAGTGGCTATGGGTTATTATATTCTTTAGTGCAGGACTTTCAGGTCAGAACTATAGAACAAGTGCTAAAGTAATAGGACATGATCCTGCCACAGTAACTTGCAAAGAAATTGCTTCAATTGCCTTGTCTAAGCAGACCAAGCTCTAGCTATTCTGAATAGGGCTATTTTATTTTAATTCCTGTCGTGATTACTGGGATTTTTCTTTATATTTCTGGTATCTATCACATCTTCCTGTTAATGAAACAGCTTTACTAAATAACAGATAAAACAAATAGTTCCCTATATCTGAAACTGTTCTGGTTTTAATATTCTAGGCAGATTTTGAAAGCAACTTCAATGAAAAAATGCTGGAGAACTTGATTAATGCCATCCATTTCACTGTTCCTTTGAAGGAACTATGTTTGTGGCTTAAAAATGTTGTGATCCCTTTTTTAAGAAGAGTAGTGCCAACGGGACAGGTAAGGCTGAGATAATTTTGTAGTTAAACCTAAGACTTTTCTTTTTGAATGCCAGAACTTTGTTCCTCTTTTTTAAAGGGATTCTTTTAGCTACAGCTTAGATTTTTAGTTATTTCTTTTAAAACAAATTTCAAATGACAGATTTTGCTTTTATAGATAGTATAGCTCTACTTGTAACTGTGTTCTTTTCAGAAAATATTAGCAAAATGGCTGGAACAAGGCGCTCGAAACCTTGAATTAACTGATAAGGTAAGTAATTCTGCAGACACTTTGCATGTCTTGTATTTCTTTATGTATGATATAATTTTCTAATATCAATTATTTTGGACAGGCAAATTGGCCAGAAAATGGACTCCAAATGGCTGAGGTTTTTTTTACAAGTAGAAATCAAGGTGAAATGGGACTGACAATTTCTGGCCATTGGACTGTTTTGGTAAGAAATGTAGCAAATAGAAGGAATCCCTACTACGAGACTTCAGAATATATGCTCTGTGCTAGAGTTGGAGTGGATGACACTTAGATCACTACTGGTTTTGGTGAAGATTGATTTAATTCCATGGCACTTTCTTTCCAATCTTCTTGAGTTTAAAGATTAAAAAACTTAAATAAGAAACATGTCTCCTCTCCACTGAAGTTTTTAGTAAATTAATTACAATCACCATGTGTTACAGCCTGGAGAAACAGGTATTAAAATCAACCAGCTGTGAGTTTGTGAATACTGAATCTGTGCAACCATAATCAAATTATGTATGTTATGTATTCTAGGTGTACTGGCATTTCTAAGAGTAGTAGTAAGAACGTGGAGAAAGAAAAACTCAAGACTAACCAGCTGTGCATTTTAACTACTGGAAACATCGATATTCTATGTTAATAGTAATGTAATGATCTTGAAGATTGTAGCAATTCTTCTAACATGCCACTTCTAAACACTGTTTCAGAGATATGTTGACTGTGAAGAGGTGCATAGGTTAAAGAAGCTGGTAAATGATTTACAAGAACTAATAAAACTGTACAGAAAATACAACTGCAGGCTGGCACTCTCTGATTTTGAAAAGGTAATTCCAAATGTGCTCTTGAGTAGTGGATTGTTTTGGGAAGGAGAAAAATCTTGTAGCATGCAATTTAAAGTTGGGGTATTTAAAGCTTCTGATGGATTGCTTGGATAAACTTGCGTTCATAAACCACTAAGACTATTTGATATGTTATGGATATTAGAAATTTTGTTTCAACTGTGGGTATAAATACATAATGTGATAAGATATTATGAGAAGGTATGACTTAAACTCCACAATTTGCTCTAAATTACAGATCATGTAAGCATTAGCAAAAGAGAAATCAGAACCACAACTGAACAATGAGGGGCTTTAAGAAAGCTTTTATTTGAGCTAAAGAGGGATGCTAGTTCTTTAAATCATTCAACTGATTTCAGTAGATGCTGGATGTTGAATTATTTCTTAGAGATGTTAGTACATGATCCTTTACATATGTGATGTTCTAACATGGCACTGTTCCACTTGCTGCCCAGGAAAATGCAACTACTATTGTGTTTCGCATGTTTGATAAAATTTTGGCACCAGAGCTTGTTCCATCCATTTTGGAGAAGTTTATAAAACCCTACCTGTGTGAACATAATCTACAAAAGGATGAACTACTTCTCCAGTATATAAAGGTATCCAGATTCCCTTCCTTTTGAGGAAAGTTATTTAAGCAGGAGTAAGCTGAAAACAAATCTGATGGCCATTTTTGTTTACACTTGAATTTCAGGATCAGCTTACTCGTTTCAATGAACTTACTGATAGTTACTATTTTTGTATTTTAAAAGAATCTTATACCTTCTGAACTCAAATATGCTAATAATCTTTACCAAAATATACAGGATTTGCTAGAACGCTGTCGCACACGATCTACTTCAGTATTTGAAACTGCATGGGAGGCAAAGGCAATAGCTGTCATTGGCTGTATCTCTGACACAGATGTAAGTATGTTTTATGAAATAGGCATCATTGGCTGTGACACATCAGTTCAGACTGAAACAGATCATTTTTACATATGCACACTAGTGCATTTTTGCACGAGGAGGAGCAAATAGTATTTTTATTCTATTTTAGTAATCTCCCATGTGAAGTTCCTTGAGAATTTAATTGTAGTTTTGATATCAGCACATGGAAAACTCACCAACTTTCAAACATATGAAAGCTCTACAGTGTTGTTAACTACTATGAAGATTTTCTAATCTAACTTGACACATCGTACTATGATAATTAA